CGAAAAAAAAAAAAAAAAAACAAGTAGTAAGGATATACTATAAGTTAACAGACTTGAAGGTATAAACCTTTCTGAAAACTATTTCACCCTGGAACCCTCCCATCCGTTTAGTAGTTCTTTTGGAGAGACTGAGCCTCGCCTTAAAAATGGTTTTCGTGCTCTTTACTAGGACCACAGGCACTGTTAAACAAAGGTTCGGTAAAAAAGGAACTGATGCGTCAGAGAATGACACCAGGATGACGGTGATAAAAACAGCGAGGTGAAAAAATGATTACATAGCGTCCATCTTACTTCACGAAACGACCATTTTTCTAGTCGCTACTCGGTGCAGACATCTAACAATAGTAGAAAATGTATCACTTCCTCGACAAAACTGAGAATCTTTTTCAAAATTTTTTAAGTCTCAGCCTTAATTCCAGTAAAATGATCGATATCACTAGCAGGAACATTAATAGAAAATTTTGATTTGTCAAGGTTAATAAAATTTAATAAAATAACTTTTATAAGGCAAGAAAAAAGGTGTAAAATAATTGCAAACGATTTCTTACCAATCTACAACTGTTTTGATCGAAAATCTCTGGAGCTGTATCTTCACTCCAAAGAACGATTTGTCCTTTGTTACTTCAACAAATTAACAAAGAAAAAATAACTTAATTTATTTCACGACTGAAGCAAATCATTGAAACAATGATGAGGAAACATGTTAACACTAATAATGATGACAAAGTTCTCAGCAATCAAGGACGAATGGTCTTTACAAAATAATTTGATGCTCCTTATACTTTTCTGTTACTACTTGATCTTCTGAATTGTTATCCCAGGATTTGGTCGTCTAGATGAATACATGCTGCTACGCGAGATTTTATTTTAGTCGGCAAATACAGAATACATCGATAACCCCAAACTTAGGTAATTGAACTATAAAATAAACATTCTAACAGAGGGTTACAGTTGAAACATACAACACGCTTAAACACTATAAAGTAAAAACAATTAACAATAAACGTAAAAACAGTTGAAATCGAATCACGTCTATCTTCTTCTATCTATATAGTATCCGATGCTAGGCGGAGTTGACATCCAGAGTTGATCCGACCTCGCCGGAACTTGCTTCCTTATTGGCCTCGTCTTAGGATTTAGCTATTCTTTGCCCGCAATTCTGACGGGATTGCCTTCATCTTCTCCCGCCTCCCCGGCTTGGGGAGACGTTTCCGATTCGCCGCCTCTTCCTCTGTAACCTGAGAAGGTTCGCTTCGACGAAACATTCCCGCCTCCTTTATCTCGAGCTGCTGTTCCAGGCGCCGGAGATGTAACTTGGCGTACTCCAGGAAGACGCATTGTCCTTGTATTTCTTCCGCCTGCAGCCGACGCTTTACTTCCCCTTCTGCTTCAGGGGGGATGTTCATGCCTCTCCCATAGGTCTTGAGCAGGGAGAGTAATTGCTGCTTGAGATGTTGCATCATCTCAGGCAACGATCTGGTGGCCGGCCGACTCCTTGAGGCGTTATTGTTGGTAATAGCGACGCGCCCTTCTTTCTAATCTCCTGGGGCTTGGAAGCCGCCGAGGTAATTAGACAATTATTGACTCATTCTGATGCTAGACTGGATATTCTGTAGGACTGAGTCCTCTTATATAGTTGTAATAATCAGGCGGGGTCATCGGCTAGACCCATCAGAAGCAAGTTCTAACGTCTCCCCCGCCTCTTGCTCAGCAGCGACAGTCCTTTTTAGCAAATATGCAGTCCATCTGGAAATAACAGCTCACATGACCACATTTTGCCCAAAGAAAGTGTACAAAATAATGTTGAAGCAGTAAATTAGTAACTAACGGTAGGGCGGTAGTAAAAAACAAAAGACTAAGCTAAATACCAGCATGTTGATAAGCTTGTGATCAAATTTCAAAATATGTTTCATTAGACGACTTTTTGTTTACGTATAATAGACTACCACCCCGTAAAAATTTTTCCGAGTACAAAAACTCCATTTTAAATGAGGGGAATTTTTTTAACGCATTGCCAACAACGTCTACAAAAGAATAAAAATAAAAATAACAAACACAAAATGCATAACCCATGTTACAAACGTTATTCCTTCAGTATTAAGATGAATATATGAAGAATAACAAGGTCGAAGGGAGCAGCATTCTGGTGGAACGGCAAAAAATCGAGGGAGTTACAGACAAGAAATTATGTACTTACCTTATATATGGAAAAAGCAGCAACCAAGGTACAGTTTGTCTTTTCAACGTCAAACTTTTCTAACTAATTAACAAATGCTATCAGCAGAATCCAAATGCTTTTCTTATTCCACAGTAGCCAAGAGACCCATCTTTTCATTCAGTTTAGCAGTTATAATAGAAAAATAGCGACTCACTCAGTCGTATTATAGAAAAATTGGCATTTAAACCGTGTCGGAGAGAAAAAGTATTTATATGTCAACTGCTACTGGACCAAACAAACGTTCCAGGAAAACTGGTATTACAGAAATTGCCAATTCAGCCTAATTTATAAATCAAAAGTCTAAATACATCTTACGATTCAAATAGATCAGTTCAACCATCCTAAATTATTAATTTCAACGAAGTTAACAAGGTTACCGTGGGAAAAGGTCATCATTTAGAATACTTACTCGAAAATATGAAACAGAAAAGAACAGTTATTTAATTACATTTAATCTTGTTTAAAACAACCAAAATTAATTCATGAAAAATTATTTTCTTTTTAAAACCCACCAAAGAGTTTAATCATTTGTAATTTTTAAGACACGTTTGGGAAGGCAAGTTTAACAAAACCATACGCAAAAAATATTTTTCAGGAAACACCTCAGCTACCAAAGTCCAAATACGGTTAGATTTTGAAAAACGGTTTCTTTAAAATTTAAATCTTACCAGTTGTTTGATGTAATTCAAACATATTAGTGGCCAGAAATGTCGAGCAAAACAGTTCAAAAAAAAAAAGTAATAAAAACGTGTGAAGACAACAAATCATTGCTCAAAAACAGAACCATCCAAAAAGTTAGAAATAGGTAGTAGATTCAGCAAGAATTTTACATGCAACTGGATTTTATAAACAATTTTTTTCTGCTTTTTCTTTAAATGAGTCAAAATAATCACACATCAGTAAGATACAAACAGTTGTGCTGCAAGTTATTCTTTCGTTTAACAAACGTAGTACGTGGTCGTCTAGAATTTACTTGTTAAAAATAAATAATTAATTTGCTTCACTTATCGATTCCTAATTTTTTGTTATTATTATTTCACCACGAAACAGCAGCGTCATAAGAGTGAAATTGAGTAAAAAATCAAGTATAGGGCATTTAAAAAATTCAGTGCTATGGTAATATGCTTGCCGTTCCCACTAGTGTTAGACACAGACATTCCATTCAGCAAATCAACTTCTTCCCATAACCATGTACAAATTCGCTACTAACTTGGAAATTACTAATGATAAAAATAACACCACCCCTCACCTTCCAATCCATAAAGATATCAGAATAGACTGGAAAAATTATCTGCGACGGCTAATTTTAAAAAAGATTTTTGGCCCCTTTGTAGCATCAGCACTGTTCCGCTTTTGCCCAAATCTCTATTGCGAAAGAAAAGTGACAATTCAAAGGGAAAAACTCAGAACTTGCTGGTCAAGACTTCTTTGGCTTCTTCGTTGTTACCGCCTATTCAGTTGTTATAATTCCATAACAAAGTACTCCTTTTTCACATTGAAAATAACTTTAGTGACTTTTTTTCAAAGTTTAACTCGCATATGGAAAAGGTCTAGGCTTTTTTTCATCCCAAAAACACTATATTCTGATGTCACAAAAAACATAAAACTTTCATTTTCATTTATAACATAGTCTCTTGTTTTTCCCGTCTAGCAGGTTACCACATTCTCCCGGTCGTCGTGCCCTCGGACCTGCAGCCAACTCATAGCAACTTCATTTTTGTATCGCTTTTGTCCCCTCCACCGAAAAGTGGCCCAGAACAAACAACATTCATTCCTCATATTGGTACACAGCAGGCAAGGCAATTCGTCAGAGTCAGCCCCTCCTGCAAATGAGCTAAATATTTTATTTACTCTTAAAAAAGTCCATCCCCCAGCAAAGAAATACGCAGCACCGATCGATGCCAGTTTAATACCACAGCCGTGACAGTTTCAAAAGAATAGCTTAACTTTCAAACTTATACAAAGCGAATTAGCAGAAGGACGAGGAAACTGTCGAAAAAACAAAGACCCTCCTTTCAAAAAGTTAATGATGAAATTCTTAAAAGCAATCGACTAACTGTTCTAACAGCTTGATTGGTAAAATTTCTAAAAACAAATTACTTTTTAATTTTTTTAAACCAAAGAGATTTATAACCACCCATAAAACCGAATTTTCTTTCAGAAACGATTAACTACTGTCGAAGAACATTGCACATCTTTTATCTCCAAGATCCCGTCTTTGTATCCATCAATAACAGTGGGGCTACGTACTGTCTGCATGATGTCTTAGTACGGCACTTTAAAATTAGCTACTTCTCATCAAACTACTGAGTAGACGACTATCAGATGATTCTGAATAAATCAAGATAATGCTTTAATTTACGTTTATTTAACACGTTGAAAAATGCTTCTACACTTCCCAAATAAATTTCTAACAAAAAGTTTATGAAAAAAGAGATTTTAAGAGAAATAGCTCTAAATTGCAGACTAAAGATGACTACGTTGTCAATTCAATGCGAGCAGCAGAAACTTTTTGTCGATTGAAATTTGACGGAGAAATCCTGTCAATTCATGACAGTGACGAACAAAAATTAATTCAAGGTGTAATTTACACTCCAACGGCATACCAGCTACATTTTCTTTACTAAAGAAAATTAAAAAGCTTTATTTAATTTCTATAATTAAAATTAAATTTACTTCTCCTCCTCAATATAGATGTTGCATTAAAATATAAAAACAAGACAGTATTTTCAGATTATTTATTCAAGCAAAGATTAACCCCAATGACTAAACTGTTTGATATGAGACCATTAAAAACACCACCCAAGAATAAATCTGATAGCTATCACTTATTTTTGACTTCGGAAAGCCAAAAAAATGCTGTATTATACAATTCTCGAGGGGACTGTTACGCAACTGTACACGACTACGTGACTAAATCCGGTTAGCATTTCAGCCTCATGTTATGTCACTCTAAATTTCAGCACCTCAGGGCTTCTCAGAAATTTAGATACAATTGCAAAAGTAAGCTGTGATCGAGTTTGGCGCCGTATTACTTGCAAAACAATACTTGGCAATGAACAATATATAATAAAGGGTGGTGTCCCGCTTCCAAACGAAAACAGTTCAATGGCGGTAAGAAAATTTTCTATCTAAGAGATCTGCGTACTTCTGAATTTGCATAACCAACGACATCATTTCCACAAGAACGACTTTCGAAAGAGCTACTTTCAGCATATTCCCTGCTTCTCTGCCGAGAAAAACTTTTTTACAATACGTGAGTTAAATACCTACCAAGGACTTATGGTACCATGCTCTCCTTCTACATAATTCATTACACATTATAATATACTTCCCTCGCATAATTATCTCTTCCCTGTAAGTAAAGACGTCGAAGGTAAAGAGCAACCACGGAATGAGAGCTGAACCACACTCGCAACTAAAAGACTAGTTCTAGTCAAAGAGAAGCTGTTCACTGTTACTTTACAACAGGTCCTCAATAAGATTATTTTCGAAAATAGTGAGTCAGATTTTAGCTTCCATCTTCTCACAAAACGGCGCTTGACGTCACCAAAGGGCTACAGTCCGCAACTACGTCACGATTACCACTCAAAAAGCAGCATGAATAGGTGGAAGGCCGACAGAATTGTAAAATCACTTTCTTCTGCCACATGGTTAACTTTCAACAGGAGCCAAAGTTGCAATTTCAGCACCATTTACTAAAGTCATGAAGTCTTTTACTCAACACTTTTGAAGTGGCCTTTATTCAAGCTGAGTGAAAGAGGAAACTTAAAATTTTATCCTGCACTTCCAGGCAGATGCTTTTAAAAAAATTTGTGTACACTAATCTCCAAGACAGAAATCCTTGTAACGCAAGTGTCGAAAGTGCGTCTCTGCAATAGGCTGCGGTAGCCTCTCGTCGGTCGGCGCAGTTCTTCATTCTTGTAAACTTAATATCCCTCTCCAAATTGCATCTAAGAAAGTCGTAGGAAAAATGGAATATACAGCATAAAAAATTAAGAATAAATCGCAAAAAATTCGGTCGCTTCGGACTTAATAACAGCTGTGAAAAAAATTAGGCAAGACAGAAACATTCCTGCAGCCTTGAAGTGTATCGCTTTAACAATTTCGTGCATCTTCGGGCATCCCGTCGGTGTTATAGTTTTAATATTGGCCGTCGCTTCCGCAGTTTTTTCCGCGTTCTTCAACTAGATTGAGACAAGAAATTAATGGTGAGCAGAAACCAAAAGTAAAATGCGGTGAAGAAAAAAACCATCATCTGAAGAGTAGAAGCCAGAGGATAAATAAAAAAGAAGCACAGCACCTGATAAAAAACTTGAAGGATTTTAGAAAATCAAAAAGCAACAGCAAGAAAAATCCCTATTCAGTACTCCTGTCAATTCCCACATGTTTACATAGGGACAATCATATGACTAGAACGAAAAATTTATTTATTTTTATAACGTTATAAATGGATTCCATTGATTATATGCACATGAAATAATAATGAGAACTAGATTGCCTCATGAACTTAATAAAATTTTTCAGGAGTATCACAAGTTCTTTTGGAAAGTCCATTACGGATCGGAGATGAAGAGTCAGTCACAACGCTTAGTAGTTTTATGTCAGTCTCAAACTTTTAATTTCAGTAATCATCTGATTTAACAGTTCTTTATCTCTTCTTGAGGTACTTTTGTATGCCAGCTTGCGAAACTGTCGTATCTTGCAAGACCACATTCTCTCCCGGGTGTGCAAAACATCTTGAAGTGAGGACTTTTGTATAACTACAAGAGTATTTTCATTGCTGCCCTTTAAACAACAGCATTTCAAAACCACGTCTGTAACGTGAAGGGAAGAAAATATTGCACAGAAACCATTTTTTCAAGAAGGTCTTTAATTCGTCCCAAAACTTTTTTTTTGCACCGCTGCCTTAAGTACCGATGGAATGCTAGCAAGAAAAGCTGCGAGTTTCTATGCTGCACCTGAGACTTTCTAAAGCCCAGTTTTATTCTCGAAGAAAATAATTTTCTTTTACAGAAATTTTCCAAAAAAGGGAGATGAAGACATGAACGGCGCAGTATAACGGGACATTCCTACCTTCAAAACATGCCTTTTTTGCCGTCATTACACCTTCATTTCTCGTTTATAAGATCCAACCTCTTCTAGTTCATCCCGCTGATGGCTTGTTAATTCAAATCCGACTAACGTTCTAACGATCTAGTGTTGAAGTTCCATTTAAATCCCTACGCGACTTCACAACTCTGCTTTATCGTCTACGAATAGTGTAATGGGTGTGGGAACTGCCCGTTGCAGTCTGTACCGTGTTCTGTTTAGTCCCCTTACAGGCTTCTTGTAGCTATCCCAATGGAACCTCTGCGATCTTGATATTGTTTGCAGTTCTACTGCTCCTAACAAACTATGATCCTAAATCAGTATACGGTAGTTTTTGTAAATGGTGGCTGTTTTTGTATAAAATCGGTTTCGGATTAAATCACCCGAGAATCTGAACAAAACAGCTCGACGAGCGGATGTTCCCTACACACTAGGAAAGTTGAATACAAGCAACTCTTCTTCGTCGTTAATGGTAATGCATCTGCTTGTGAACTCAAGGATAAAAAAAGACTCTAGCAGTCAATAAACGATCATAGGAGCAATGTAGGAGTATGATATTCAAAAATAAATGCCTGGGTAATGACGCGTCTGGGTAGATCCTGTAACGCCATCATAAAAATGAGAAACAGGTACTCTGCTGTTCCGTAGCCCAAACCGTAAAAGTTTATTTTTTAAACGATCACGTCGTTCCTTGATAGACTTTGATATTTATTTGCGGTCAAAGAAACTCCCTTTAAAACAATTTTATGAGGGTTTGAGTTTTATTCAGCAAAACTCACTTTCCCATTAGACCGTTACATCAACTGGAACGTTGTTTGTAGATATATAGCCATCAAATGAATGTCACATCATCAGGCTCTTTTAAGCGGTTTGCAGAAGGCTGTAGAAATCGATAAAAATACTTTTTGAGATAAAGTAGTGTCGCGGTTCTGCATCATTGATTTTCAGTGCTATTGAATGCGGATCTAGAAAAACTGTCGTTTTCGGTGTACAAAGTCGGTCTTCCGATGATTTACTACCAGTAACTAAACAATGCGTTTTGCTTGGTACAACCGCTGTATTGTGTGGAGGCTTATAATGGAACAGAAAACCTGGGGTAATTCTACACCCACTGCGCTCTAAGCCACTGCGTTAGGTTTCCTCATAAAGATAAGTATGACAGCAAACTTCTCTAGATTCAAACAGGTACAGTACCAGTGGGATCAAGTGAAAAAACAGAATAAAGGCATGATGAGAGGAAGTTTTCTTTTTGGAAGGCGTATAAATGAGTACACATTTACAAAAATTTTTCGCAACGGCTTCCTTGATCAAGTCATACAGTGAATTAGCAAGTTCCATGTTTTCCTGTAGCTAAAACGTTGCGATTACACATACGCTTTGAAGTAAACTAGATGGTTCAGAAGCGCTAAAACTGCTAATAGAAGGCTTGCATGAGGGCGGGTTTAAACTTTTAAGATTCCTACAACCGCAGCTGCAAGAAATACTGTCCTTAATTCATGTACTACTGAAACGTCGGTGTTATGGAACGTCAGGAGAAACTACAGCACAAGACTGGTGAAATATTAGCGAGAAAAGTACAAACAAGTAATACTATTAGACATCGATCAGGATGCAGAAAGTACCCATATCCAAAGGAAGGAGGTAGGTAGACAGTAAAAAAAACATGTTTGAAGGTGCGCACGCTTAACTGCAGTAGCGCTGGAATCTTCATGTGGAAAAAGCTTTCCATGAAGAGGGATAAGAAGATTTGAATGTTTATAAGGTTAACGTACTACCAAGGTTTATACAATTTGCTCTTTTACTCAAAATTAGTGGAAAAAAGTCATTTCAATACACCACCAAAGTTGAACAAGAGATGTTTTTTACGCAAAAGAAAGATCCCAAACACACGAGTCATTTACTGGCTTCTCTTCTCCACATGTGTATAAAAACAACTTGCCGGACAAAAACTGCTTCACATCACCCGTATGAACCCAGCTACTAAGTGCAGTCAGCGGCTTATGTGCGATAAACATTTTACGCTTCCTTCTTGCAGAAAAAGAAACAAACCCGGGCCTTCATGTTCCCATTATCAACTTGATTTCAAATGCGAAAAGGTTGTCCTCTCAGCAAGCTCTTCAATCAGGTTATAACTGTTGACCGACTTTTGGAACTTCCAAAAAGAAAGCTATAAAACCACAACCTCGCCTCTGACGTCGCCCAACTACTGTAGGAGACCGTGAATGCGGTTTCTGAGAGAGTATGGAACATCAAAAATCAGCCTTACCCAAGTCTGGTTTATAAAAGACGCATAAAAGATAAAAAGTTAGGTAAATTACTCAAAAATGAAGTAAACAAAAAAATTAAGAAATTTTTGGAGCAGTTTTGAAAAGGTAGTTTTCAGGGACAACACATTTTAGCACAGGACTCATTTTTATAATTATTGCGATAACTGTGGGGATTCTACTCGTCTATCGGACTACAACTCTTATGGATTATCTGGATCGTATTAAAGAGCATGAAGCAAACAAGAGGAAAGAAATGGAAGCACGTGTTCTACGACGGACTAGCACCATCGATACTCGCTCCAGTTTCTTTTCTCCAGCTTAATCTGTATCGTCTAGCTGAAAGTGGTCTTTACTTCTTCAAACAAAATGAAAATTAATAACTGTTCAGCTAACAAATGTTTCTTCCCAATAAAAATTTTGAGTGAACCTCAGTTTTTGTCAAACCAGTAACACCGCTATAGGCCAAAAGCCACTTTGTTAAAAGATAATTGCTAGAATAATTTGTTTGTTCCAACTAAGCAACTGTTTTCAACAAAAAGCCAACCTCATTTCCAACCCTTAGTTAGGTATTTACTCGACCACTGGCGTTTAATCTTGTTCATAGGAAATCCAGCTCACAGACTCTGAGTAATACGGAATGAGAATAACAACAGCAAGATTGAAACTAACAGTTCCCCGGCCCATCAGTTAGTTCCTACCTGTCACCCTAGGAAACACATTTTAATGTAAAATCTACGTTAACTATTATTGCGACGACAGCGCAACTCCTGTCCGCCCTTGAACCATAATTATTATGCAATATTTCCAGGCGTAAGAGAGCGAGAAGCAAACAAGCAGCATCCACCCGCTGCCAAACCTTCTTCAAACATGCTTTGGCTTCATTTTTCCAAAATAAATAATAATTCCCTAGTTAAGGCTTTATAACCGAAATGAAAACTGACCAACTATAAGATTTGACATCGTTACCTAAGCAAAAATGAGAAATAAGTTCCAGTACGGCATTATTTACAAAAATCGATGCAACATCAAAAAGAAATATTTTGGCTTAAATATAAATAATGCTGGAGATACAAATGATATCATAATAGTAATAACAATAATGATAGCCGTAACAATGACAATAATAGTAATAGTAATAGTAATGGTAATAGCAAAAATAATAATAATAATCACAATAATAATAATAATAATAATAATAATAATAATAAAAGTTAAAGTAATATTAATAATAACAATAATGAAGGCGTTTAATTACAACCCGTCCAACACTAAAAATGAATGAAAATCAAAATCAAAAACTGTAATAAACGAAGAAGCTTAGAAAATAACAGTTCAGATAAAAACTTCGCATTCCAACAGGTTGCAAAACTGAAACAGCCCATCAAAATACGACAACCTTCGCTAATTTTTTCCATCGGTGACGTCTGCTTTTAACAAAAGACTATATAAATCCATTAAAGCACTGGTGATTTCTTCCGAAAACCTACAATTAATTCCCGAACAAGAAATGAACGCAGAACGAGAGAACTATAATGCGCACCATACTTGATTTCAATATTCGCGTTTTTTAACAGTGGCAGTACCGCCTTTCTGAGAATAAAAAGATTTCCGAAATTACTCGGGAGCTGATGCGGTGAATCTGAGTATTTAACAGAAAAATGAAATTGTTTTACTTCAAAAAAAATAAAACTAGCATCTGCTCTAGCGCCGGCCCAGTGAACAACTGTTTAACCATTTCTGAATAACCAAATTGTACAATTAAAGATTGAAAGTCAGAGAGGTAATAAAATGAGAAGAAAATTGGTGAAACGGGGTATAAGGCAGAAAATAAAACAAGATGAAGATCTTTCTTTTGAAATGATTTCAAGATTCCGTATCCACCAGAAGCCTTTAGGTCTCATACGTGCTTCTTAAAGAGCAGAGCATCACAAAGCTGCTAACTTCACAGAACCCCATATTTGATTTTCAAGCCTTTAATTTGAAAATACCTTTCAGAACTATATGGTCTTCCCCCTCCTTCGAACTTCGTCACTGTAAAATGAATTCCATTCTCCTGAGAGTTATAGCAGACAGTATAACAGTCTGGGTTTGAAGGGCCATAACACATTGGCAAAAAGTGTCTAGTAGGTAACTAAAAAGTAATTATTTCGAAATACAAAGAAAAGGAGTGAAAGACATAAGTACTGTAAGCTTTCAAATCCTTTCAAATAAATAAATAAGTACAGAAACCTGTCCTTTAGTATTCAAACCATGATTTGAGAAAATCGCAAAGAACACCACAAAATATTTCTATAAACGCATTGTCTTTGACTCCCCAATGATCTAAACCATGCCACAGGCAAAAAAGAATTTAAAGTCTATGACTGGAGCTATCAATAAGCATTACACTTAATGCCATCGGAGAATTTTACCCTTCCTTCGAAGGTGTGTTAAAATAGTAATTAATCTGAAACCAAAAAAACACTTCTTTTCCCACAATGTAATCCCCAAAAACTGGGTTGTTCCTAAAATTACACTTTAATCTGTAAAGGCTGCAGTCTTAGCTCGTCCCTTTATGCATAGATTTTTTTTATTAAGAAAGGGTTTAAAATCACCGGACTGGTTAATAAACCGTAGCGTTGCATCTTTTTAAATCCATCGCTTTTAAATATTTTTGGAATACTACCACCTGCTTCTTCTGCAAGAAGACGTAACCCCAACAAATGTCGATCCATTGATAATCCGTTCATAGTCTATAAAATAATATGTGATTTGCCAATTCCATTTCTTCAAAAGACGTTAGAAAAGTGCAGGATTTACTACGACTCCCTCCCAAACAAAATTAGAGTCATTTCGACTGCAATGCAAAGTTACAAGAAAAACTTGCTGACTTTTGGCTGAAGACCTTTGGATAATTAAACCATATAAGTCCACTAGAACGTTACAATCTACAAATATTATGCAAATCGACGCTCAAAGATTATTTGAACTGCACTTATTCAAAAAAAGTAACCTGCAGTGTGTGGCTTTTATGCTGCTGGGCAGCAACTTGAAGCATATGTATCAATTCATTATCGCTCGGTTTCTCATCCGCATCGGTCATTTCATATGTAAACATCGACATTTGGAAATTTGGTAAGCGAACCATACCTGTCCTGCCACCTTCAAACTGTCTTAAAGTAGTGGACTGGTACGTTGGAGGATGTTCGTGGTAAATCCTGTAGTATGCAAGCTGTATTCCAATCTGCATTAAACTGTCCGTACTAATGTTGTGACGTCTTGCAAAATCTTTTCCAAAATGATCAAAAGTAAACATCTTCACTTCGGTGTTACAAGCAACTCTGAAAATTCCCCATTACAACCAAATGATTACCTGCACGTATAAAGAAATAAGAACTAGGGAAAAAAACCTGTCAAATTCATCGCTGGCTTTTAAAACCTTATTACGCAAATTATCCGAAACAGTAAACTGAATAGCAGAAGTGGGTTGCGTTGCACCTTTAGCATCCTCTCCTTCGAAATTATCGCGATCGCTAAAACAATAAAGGACTTGACATAACACGTTCGAGTGGTGGACAAGAATAAACACAGCTATTATGGCGGGAAGTACGATTCTTACAAGCAGTCACTGATGTAATCCATTAACGTCGCTACCGGACCTGCATCTATAGGGGCGTGCTCAAAATTGACGCCACACAACCCGTTTGAACCAACAATAAACTGCAAATAACAGAATCGTTTTCCAAGCTCACTTTTACAGTGCAGACAAAGGTTAAAAACATCCCAGTTTTATGCCCATTATTTCCAAAAATGACCTGAACAGATTTGTCAAACCACCGGTTAATACTATTGCTCTTAGATCCGCCCCCGTGTAGGCACTGCATAGCCTGTATATCAAGTTCTGATTTGCCTTCCAAAGGTTTAGGTTCACTGTCAAGACAAACAACAAACAAACTGTCTTCTATGGAACGAAGCTGCTTTGAATTACTTCCTAAACAGCAAAAATAAAGAATTTCTCACAAATGGTATCACAAAAACGAATTATCACGACACCTAGTAGTGCCGCGTAAGCTTCAGCCCAAGAATCGCGTCCCCAACTCGTTAATGAACCAACCGGACACTCCGAAACCCCTTCAGTCTGAGGGATAACGTTCCCAGCTAATTCATTTTTTATTTGACCAAAGCTTCTTAAGCAGCCATCTGAATCAAAGATCGACATTTCTATGATCTGCAATCATATTACAGCTAGAAAGTCTATAAGAAATTTCCCTTCACCAGTGTTTTGATTTTACAATGAAAAATTTGCAATGCGGAACTGTATCACGAAATTTAAAATAATTAAGTAATTCCAACATTCAAAAACTTAAAGAAATACGGTAACGATTTTGATAAACAAGAAAAGATTACATGGCCATTCCTGATAATTAATATATGCCCCGGACGCCGTTCATCTCCCGTGAATTTCAACTCATCCTTCCCTACATTAGGTATCCGACAAGTCCCAAACAGACACTTATACTGTTCCATATCCAACGGAATTTTCCCTAGCTTGTCTCGAGGCAACTCCTGACTGAAAAAAATTGTTCAGCAAACTCAGCACGCTTTTAGAAATTGCAAAGAAACTTCATCTGACAGATGTTCAATTGCCCTCATTTCCCAACTTTAGCAGAGTCAGAGCACCTCAAGGAATAATAATGTGAAATACATGCAAAATCACAGAAAATTATGAAAAAAACATACTGAATAATCTTCAAATAGAACTTGGCAGCAGAATGGATGAGCTTTGCAGCAGCATCTACTTGACCCTCCATGCCAGAATAATTCCATCTCGGAAACATTAAAGCAGTGTTAGTTCCCGTTGGAAGACGACTTCGGGACTTTAGGTAGGCTTCATCAACCCACCAAGGAGTTAACTAGAATTATATTTTCCAAAATCACCATCCAAAAAAGCGAGACAAGAAAGACCAACCCAATTGGACATCCTCGATGCCCGACTTTCCAAAAGATGCTGAAGCTTTTCGCCTTCGCCACCATCCAAAAAGCTGTTGGCCACCTCAAATTCTATTTAGTAGAGAAGATAACAATAACAGTAATAACGACACAGCAGCACTCACAAATGGCTCCTTTTAACCCACCACAAGAAATCCAATAAAACTACATTTACAATCCTCCTGGCAAAATGGCATCCGCCCACACCTCTTAAATTAAATCGCTAGCTCATCACTTGGGTTTTTTAGGAATTGAACATTCATCATCTAATATAAACTACTGATAAAATTAAAAAAAAATTAAAACAAAAAAAAAAAAAA